TGTATGTGTGTGTGTGTGTGTGTGTGTGTGTGTGTGTGTATGTGTGTGTGTGCTTGATATTCTGCCGTCCTGTAACATTTCTGTACACGAGTGGTTACAATGTCCGGCTTGTTCCCCGTGTCCTTGATGCTCAGCTCACAAACAAACAAACAAACCAACAGACAAATGAACAAACAACATGTCAATTTCCGTCCAATGTTTGTACAGTTGTATGTTAATAAACGCCTGTCTCTGCATACGTACATATTTATGTGTATGTATGTGTGTGTGTAAGTGTGTGCACACGTTTGCCTAATGGTGTATGAATGTACGTATATAATATTTTAATTTATGCATCTTTGTATGTATTAAAAGGATATATGTTGTATAATTGTTCATGGTTGCAAAAATGTTTTCAGGAAATGTTGGAAATTAATTTGTGCTTGACGAACACTTCCTGGAGTCAAATTTTAATAACTGTGTGCGTGTAACTGGTGTGTGTATGTGTATCACATGTGTACACTTTAGCTCTTTCAACCAGAGAGAGAGAGAGAGAGAGAGATGTGGAGGTGAGGACGTGTCGAAATTCTAGAGTCACTGAGGACACGCTGCTACAAATGAATCTATATTTAGCACTCTTAGAGAGTGTGATTGTGATCTTCTATTACAAAATAAAACCGTCACGTTTTGTTATAACTTCCAACATACTTTGGGGTTTTTTGGCTTACAATTTGTGTTTTGTGAGGGACTTCCTGTGGTTGGTTGGCGGGTGTTCTGCTGTGTTTGTGGTTTGTTCCTTCTTTCTTTTCAAACATTGTATTGTACTTTGAAAGGCCCAGAGCAAAGTCCAGGTCTTTGTTTTTTTCCCCTTTCTCCATGCTCCTTTTCTTTCTCTCCCACCTCCTGTGTCTTGTTTCCTCCCTTTTCTTTCTCTCCCACCTCCTGTGTCTTGTTTCCTCCCTTTTCTTCCGCTTCTTGCTGAATAATATACAGGGACTATATATACAGTCGAACCTGCCATGATGGCCACCTGTACAAACGACCACATTCCATCCCCCCCTTGACGTTTTAAATTCTGTATTGGTCCCTGACGCTGTAGGCGAGCCGTCATAATCCTTTCACCTGCCGTCATAATCCTTGCACCTGCCGTCATAATCCTTTCACCTGTTGTTACTATTAGTCCCTCCAATGGTTGACCGTGTGGGGTAGGTCCCACCCACTGTTGTTTACCCAAGTTGGCCGTCCGGTAACAGCAAATCTTCAGCTGCTGGTGAGGGAAGTGTGTGGTCCGTCATAACCTATAAGTCCCGCCCACAGCTCATACATAAATTAAATCGTAAGTGAGGTGACCAGTCACTGTGTTCCCAGTCTTTAACAATGGACGTGAACATGAACTATCGACAGATTAAGTGTCACTCGTTTTCCGAGTTGAGGCGGCTCATTTGTTTATGTTTTTTAAACTTTTCTTCTTCATCTGACACATTTCGTTTTGCTTTACCCTTGCACATTGTCTTCCTCATTTGATACACTTTGTAGAATTTAACATATATGTTACAGTAGTCGCAGGACTGTCTCTCTGTGCAAACTAAAATGTTTCACACATTGAGATAAATCCAACGGTTGATGATGACATTAAGGTAGAAATGTAAAACCCATGTCTTGAACCTGCAACCAACTCTAGTTGGGAACTCAGAAGGAAGTTGTAAAAAAAACCCCCAAAAACAGAGAGACAAAAAATAAACAAACAAACAAATTAACAAACAAAACCACAAGCAACAACAACAAAAACCTTCCTATTCCCCGCCCCTCCTCCTATATATAAATATACACACCACATGTATAGGTGTGTCTGTTGCCAGATTTCTTCCATGGAGGGACAAAAGCTACCATTTTAGCACATCACGGACATGAAAGTGTAGGTCCTTATAAAAAACCCTAGGATAAAATTAATAGGGGGGCACTAGACTCCGAAGACCGCAAACTGAGCCCTTGTTTGCCGCTTTGACATTGAAATGAAACCAAACAAGCGACGCACTCTGCTGTTGTTCTGTGATGCATACTTTTGTGACAGTGCATATAGATCTAGTCCTACACTTTTAATACTAAAGTGAAATTGTATATATTTATTTCCCCGAAAGAATATATCTGTGAGTAAGAGTTTAAGTAGCCGTAACCATCCTGAATGTAAAAATTATATAGGCCTAGTTGAAAATAAGTTTGAAAACCTGGCCAAGTCGATGAAGACGGAAGTATAACCTCTTCGAAGAAGACCTGTCTATTTGGAGTAGTTTCCCTTTACCTAACAAACGAAAGCGGCACAGAGAAGTCCTTTCTTCTAATGTCCTATAAAGCTATTTTATTTATTATCTTACATGGTATTCAACACCGTCTGTCGTTCATCAGAGTCACCCGTGAATTATATCAGTTCCTGCAGCCGTTCCCCAAAGTTTTATTTCAAAGCCTGAGCAACTAATCTTGGTCTCTCAGGCCTGTTGACACTTGGGAGTTGGCAAGGCAAGAGGATCCAACATCAAGACTCGAGGGTCTGTTTCGCGTTCCTTTCCTGTCCTGTGTCCACTTCGGCCTGCTGTACTTGTGGTGAGTACCGTACATAACATTTCAGAACAACAACGTCATTATTTGTCAAGTACGTGTCGGAAACATACACTTGGTTTGTCTCGTCTGTCTTAGTTAATATCTAGCCATGCCCTCAGCCTCAGTTATGTCTCTCTTGTAGTTGTAGTGTAAGTCAATGAAGTGTAGGCCTACTCAGACTCAGCCTACTCGTCTTGTATCGTGCAAAGTTTTGGAACTCGCTGACAAACTTTGAAAGAGGCAACAAGCATACACTTTTGACTTATGAGCAGTTGGGGGGGGGGGGGGGGGAGTGATTTCACTGGTAAGATTAGCTTATGGCTTATGGCCCTGAGCTTGCAATTTTTTTAGACAGACAGTTGAACTTGTTTTATTAACTCTTATCCTGCGTCTGTGCCCAGATGCGTATCTTATCAGCAACCGATTACGTCGGACTCGCCGGGCAGGCCGCCGGGGGCACTCAGTGTGTACTGTTGGTGTACAGCGCGCGCGCCGGGAAACGTGTGTTTTCGCCATGAATACCGCGGGAGTGTGTTAACTGATGATGAAAATAACGCTCTATCCTTCATAGCATTCTATTAATAAAGTGTTACAAACACATGAATAACCCCCTCTCACAAGCTGATTAGACAGTACGAGTAGTTACGCCCATTTGAATAACCTTTCTGGACGCTCTTGTTGTTATGAATGACCTGAGGTTCGAAAAGGGATAATTTAGGTCAATTTCCGAATGTTTTACACTCAAATTGTTCTTTGTACCAGCACAAGGTATTCAAAACTATTAAACAAGCTCATCTTTTATCAGGTAGTATCATTTCATACAAAATCAAGCTCATTTGAAATATTTTGTATAGAAAAATGGAAGTCGTGTTTCCTGACTATCCTTTCGAGCTCCTCATGTCTAAGTGGGTCAATTTCTTCTATAATTTCATTGGACGAACATCTAGAGCTATCAACTTGGCATGTTTTGAATGAGACGTATGCCTCGATTACGAACCAACGCAGGTGGTTCTAGAAGAAGGCCACAAACGCACACAAACTCAAGCAGACTGACGCACACACACTTGACCTGCGTGAATGGGGATCCGACTCGGGACCCGAATGACACGTAAGAGGATGCGCGCTGCGCGTGCGCTGAGCCAGGAGCTACACTGACTCGGGACCAGAACGCAGGCGAGGTGCCGAAATAGGCTTATCGGGCTACATAAACCCGGCTCCCGCAGGATGAGGGTTAACGTTTTATCTTGTGTAAGACAACCACCTATTGTTGTCAGGAGAAATTCAAAAGTGGCCGTGCGTATAGACCGGTGGCTGTCTAGATATCTACTAGTCTTAGACTTTGGTAGGAGTGATCAAAATGGAGAAAACAAACCGTTTCCTTCAGAGGTCCCCACCGGAGGTGCTTACTGGTTTAGGACTGCTGTAAAGCATGGTAAGCTTTCTAATTAAAAGGTTTTTTGTGGGTTGTTTTTTTTTGGGGGGGGGGTTTGTTATTAGCTTTTTTTTCTATTTTGTGCAAGGGTAGAATAATGCAAAATGTGACGCATCATCGTGGTGAAATCAGGCGCTTGTCAAAATATTGAAGTTGGAGATGGAAAAAAAGCATTTTTTCCGCCAGTTTGGCATCTTTCATTGAATTTGTGTATTTTGGCTCTTCAACACTTTTTAATGTTATGGCATGTGCATGTAAAATGCCCTTCCATGTGAATTTTATTGTAAAATGTTGATTAAAGGCACAGAATATTATATGTATTTTTTCAGTTTTCAATGACTCAAGCTACTGTGGTTACTAAATTTTGTTGGCTGCCATTTTCTTGCTAATATTAACGCTGAAAATAGGCGACCCCACCTTTAATTGCAAATATCTCGACTTCTAGGTGGAGATGGGTATTATTTTTTTCGTTCAAGCAAGGCAAATGAATAAAAGCTTTCAAAGAATACCCATATAAATAAGTCCAAAAATGCCTAAATATTGACGAGCGCCTGATTCAACCACGTTTTGACAGAAATGTGTCAGTCGAGGAAGAGCAAGGCAAAATGCAAATACGCCACTGGATAACTGGATAAATTTATGGTTGATGTTCTCAGTACGTAGGAAACTCTGCTGCATTTGTGGTTTGTGTTCTTAGGTTTTAGTCGACTCCATTGTGTATAAAAGTTTGTGTTCTCAGCTCTCAGTTAGACTCCACACTACTGTATTTCTGATGGTTTATGTTCTCAGCTCTCTCAGAGTCCCTAAAAGTCCACGATGGATCCAGCACTGCTCAAAGAGCGGGAGGCGTTCCTCAAGCGAGCGAAAGCCACGCCTGCTGTGGAGAAGAGGAAGATCAAGTCGGACGATGGCAACGACAAAAAAGCGAAGAAACCGAAGATGAAGGCTCCTCCCCCTCCCAAACCACAGAGTAAGTCCATCGTCCTTGTTTCACTTTCCTCGTGGGTTGTTGGTGGGAGCTCTGGTGCGGTTTGCTTCATCTTTCCTATCAAGCATCTGTCATCGTTAACTCTTTCACTACCGGCCTTATCTGTGACCTACTTTCTGATTCTGCCTACCGTCAGGCAAATTATAGATTTTTAAGTTCATTTTTCAATATTAGCCACATGTGTTATACACGGAAATAAAGGAGAAATAAGGACCTATCTCAACATGCTGCTAAAAACGATTGTTCTTCAGCCTAACATTTCAGATTTGATTATTACAAAAGTAGGTGTGGTAGTGAAAGAGTTAAACCTCTCCTCCTTTTATTTTGTGTTTGTTACTCTCTTGTAACACTTCTAATCTTCAACACTTATATAATGACCTTATTTTGTTGCAAGTGCCGTAAAACTTTTACTAAAACTAAACTCGCTTTCCTCCTTCTTTTTCTTTGTATGTAACTCTTTAGTTACCCTTCAAATTTTAAACATTAATATACCTATTTGTGTTGTGAGTGCAGTAAAAGTAAAACTCTTATCAAAAGTAATGTAAGTCGCTGGCACAACTACTTCTACTAACTAGATGTTATACAAGGTGCATGGGTGGTTGGCAGGTGCTCTGGTGTGGTGTGCTCCTTCTTTCCCATTGAACATCAGTCTTCGTTAAATCTGTCCTCCTTCTTTTTTGGTGTTTGTTACTCTTTTGTAAGGTCTCAAATATCAGCTTTTCGTCACTTATGTGACCAAATTGTGCTGCAAATGCCGTAAACTTTTAGGAGAGCAAAATCACAGAGTGCAGTAAGTCGTTTCAGGCAAGTTGTTCTTGGGAGGTCTCGTCTCAAATCAATTTTTCCCATTGCAACGAAAACTAACGCTATGGTCATTTAGTCTCAGGTAGTCTGTCAGATGCTTGCGGATTAGGCTGTTTCTCAAAAACTGAGGCAAATTGAAATTTGAATTGATTTTATACCTATGTGTGCGCTCATATGAACAGGGAAATATTCTTATTCTTATGTGGAATTCTAAAGAATGGGAACCATTTTTTTGTTCTCTCTCTCTCCTGAAATACTTTCTTGTTGGGTTTAGAACAGTTTTACCGAACAGCTTGCCAGAGATTTGTGTTTTTGTTTTTCAGACTCGATGGATTACAAAATATCGGCGGGGAGTTCGCAGTACAAGTTTGGAATTCTCACCAAGATTGTGAAACACATGAAGGTTTGTGTGCAACTTCCTGTTATAGATTGCTCACTTTTGTCCGACTGCATGGAAAAAATTCTAGCTCATTTATTAATTTATCATCATTACTATTATTATTATTATTATTATTATCATCATCATCATTACCATTGTTGTTATTATTATTTCTACATAATTATGATTATTATTGGTATTGTCATTATTATCAGTAGTAGCGGTATTATCATCATCATTAATGTTATCGTTATTATTATCATTATTAATTTATTATTGTTGTTGTTGTTATGATGATGTTGTGTCTGTGTGTTGTCAGACCAAGCACCAGTCTGGCTTGAACGACCCGCTAGAGCTGGAGGAGATCCTGGATGAGACCAGTCAACTGGACATTACTACCAAGATGAGGCGCTGGCTCAGTACAGAGGTAAGGGGGGGGGGGGGGATGAGACCAGTCAGCTGGACATTACTACCAAGATGAGGCGCTGGCTCAGTACAGAGGTGAGGGGGGGGGGGGAGGAGGGAACCGGCCGCCCGACATTACTACCAAAATGAGGCGCTGGCTCCATACAAAAGTTAAGGGGAAAAAAAAAAAAAGTGAAGGGGGGAGAGGGGAAGGAAACAGGCAGCTGGACATTACTACTAAGAAGAAGGCCCTGGCTTTATTACACAAGTTAAGAAAAGAGGGGGAGAAAAAAAAAGTGAAAGGGTGGATGAGACAAGTCAGTTGGACATTACCACCAAGATGAGGCGCTGGCTTAGTGCAGAGGTGAGGGGGGGGGGGGGTGTGGGAGAGAGAAAGACAAAGAGAGAGGGGGGGAGAGGAGAGAGAGGGATGGGGGAATGAGACAAGTCAGCTGGACTAAAACTAAGCTAAAAAAATAACAGTGAAAACAGTTCATAACAAAGAGTTTACTAAAGAAGAAGTCACATTTTTGCTTTTTATTAAAAATGGAGATAGGACAAGAAAGCACTGAGGTCGCGATATATCACCCTGTTGTATCTTATCGTATGATGGTTGTTTTTTTTCCCCAGTCTCTTGTGAACAACCCGAAGATCACGGTGGTGAAGGAGGACGGGGTCAACAAGTTCTGCTTCAAGCCCAAGTTTGACATCCACGACCGCCGCAGCCTGATGAAGCTGCTCAAGTCCTATGACATCCACGGCAGAGGCGGCATTCTCATGGACGACATTGAGGAATCGCTGCCCAACATGGACAAAGTGCTCAAGGTGCGTCTGTGTGTGTGTTTATGTGTTTTGTGTATGTGTGTTGTTATATGTGTGGTGTTTGTGGGGTTGGGTGTGTGTGTGTTAAAGTGGGTGTGTTTCGTCAAGTATCCATGAAATCTAATGTTGTGAGGGTTTGTGTGTGGTGCTCTGTGTGTGTGGGAAGTCAAGTACCCTTGAAATCAAGTGTTGTGGGGGTTTGTGTATGTGTGTACGTGTATGGGTGTAGTCAGGTACCACTGATACTTGTGTTGTACGGAGGTCTGTTTGTGCTGATGTCTGCGTGTCTAGTCAAGTGCCCCACTCGGCTCTAACCGGAAAACTGAAAGAGGAGAAAAAGAAGAATGTCATCCTAGAGGGATTATTTGTCGTCCGTTAGCTCAGTTGGTTTCCTGCTGGACGACCAGATTGGGTGTTCTTGAACTGGGGTCGTTTTGTGGAGTTTTTGAAGGTCTCTCAACCCGTTTGCCAAGCCTGTAGGAGACAGATGTTATATTCTGAAGTCCCATCTCTTAAATTACTTAGTAAGTGTTTATAGGGGTGTGAAAGTTTCAAGTTATTCATCGTCCAATTAATTAATTTACCGTTCCAATTTCCTCAAAAATCACGTTTCTGTGTGACTTTTTCTATGTAACCTAATCTGTTTGTATTGTCCAATTGTATACATGTCAATTCTTGCATAAAATCGTGTCTTCCTTTATTTGATTATTTACTCACGGTTAACCCTAACTCTGGCAAGGGCCGATTAGATCGGCCCATTTCCTGCCATGAAACTGGCAGGGCCGATCTCATAGGACCATATAGTAAACTGCTGCTTCTGCCTTCCAACTAAATATTTGGGGCTTCCTAAAGTGATTTCTGATTGGCTAAAATGCTAACCTCCAACCAATCAGAATATTTCTACCATTCTGGCTTAGGAGAAGAGTATTTTGCTTTCAAAACAGAGGGATGTTTTGAAAGCTTGTTGGTCAGGTCACAAGCCACTAATGCCAGTGTAGATCTATCACATGTGTGGGTCTAAAATGGCCCAAAATCGATCTTTTTTGGATACATTTGAAAGTGAATTGACTAGGGAAAGTAATTCAGACACTGTTAGTGGTGGATTTATTGGTGTTCAGTCAAGATTGGGATTAGATCTGACAGACAATGGGGATACATGTACCAGTGCCTAATAGTTCTCATCCTGCCCCAACTTCTCTTTCAAATGGAACACTAGATTCTACTACTTTGGGAGTCTAATAGTGGCAGAAAAAGGAGAGCTATAGAGTAAAGTAGGTTCCTTTTGCTATACTAATTATTACAGACTACCAGCAGATTGCTGAAAACCACATGGTTGTACTTAGAGTGTTTTTATGTTGAGTTTGGTATAAAATTATCGAGTATCAGCTGCGCTCGAAACAGACCACATGACAAATTGAAACAGTCATAACTCATTACCTGTTCTTCTCAAACCTATAAAACTATACATTTTCTGAAAGGTAATTGAAAAACCCATATTTCTGCTATCTCACATTTTTTATAACAAGAAATACATTAGATTGTTGAATATGCTAATGAGCATGTACATTTTATATGTCAGCCATCTTGGATTTCAAAGTTACATAACCCCTTGAAAATAAAATAAAATCTTATGTTCAATGGCAAAATGTAAAAGTTCATTCAATTCTTTCAGAAAATATTTACTTTTGTAGGGTTTTTATTTGATGCAAGTCCATAAATTTGATTTGTAAAGCATGTGCACGTTTTGGCTGATTAGCCCTGCCATTCCTGTTGAAACCACTTGCCAGAGTTAAGGTTAACCCTTAAGATTCTGGTCCCTGATAAATGTTTGCCCGATAAGCGCAATCCCGCACAGCGCTCCACAGCTGGTCCCTGATCAGTCGTCGTCCCGCGCGGGCAACGCATTTCGTTTACGGCGGAGTCTGCATCTGTGTGCTAAAATGTGTGCGCGTCAATCTGCTTGTGCCTGAGTGTCCATCTCAAACTTACTGCATTGTTTTGCAACGCGAGGCGTTGGTAGAGATAACAGAGCGTCGGTTGAGACGTTCATCCAATGAAATATGAGCATTTTGACCCAGTTAGACACTTGAGGGACTCGAAAGGATATTCAGGAAATAAGACTTTCATCTTTCAATGCAAACACCTTTCCTCACTTTTCAAACGATCTAATTCTTGCACCAAACGTTGTTTCCTGATGTAAATAATCATATTTGGTGGTTTTTAAACCATTGTCCTACCAGAGGGAGACACTTGAGAGCAACTGAATAAAAAAAATATTCGGAAATTATCCCATTTTTTTCCCCTTTCGAACGATAGCTGATAAGCAGCTGTTCGCAAGTTCATTCATAATAGGTGTGAAATCTGGAAAACTCTGGAAAAGTTATTCGATTTGGTGTAACTTCCAATCTCAGTGTCTCTGATCTACCGACAAGGGGATAATGGGATTATTCGTGTGATCGTAACCCTTATTCATTGGTCGTATCAGTTTGCTATAAAAGATAAGGTGTTTCCCTGACCTGCCGCGGCACGCTCGCGTGACCAGTGCCTGACCCCGGCGCCCCGCGGCACAAGCCCGCAGGCGACGTATGTGGGTCATCGATCGATAAGAGCCCTCTTCCGGTTAACCCCGCAGGACTAGAGTTAATATTTATTCACCGCAGAAATGAGAAGAATTTCGTATCTACTGATATGATTAGATACAAAAGTGCAACCCCTACATAACTCCCTCCCAAAAACCCCCAATTGTGTAGCTCCTGTTAAATGACGTGGTAATATTGACAGAGATATTCATCTTATGCATGCTCATGCTGTCTGTGTCCTCCCTATGCACGCACATACTCTCTGTCTCTCTCCCCTCATTGTGTGTGGTTTGCTCCTTCTTTCCTATCAAAACATCCATCGTCCTTATATCTCTCCTTTTTCTTTTTTGTGTTTGTTACTCTCTTGTAACACCTCGAATCTTTTGGCGCTCATATGACCTTATGCAGTTGCGAGCGCCGTAAAACCTCTACTAAACTAACTTTCCTATCAAAACATATATTGTCCTTATCTCACTCCTCCTTCTTTTTTGTGTTTATTACTCTCTTGTGACCCCTCTAATCTTTGGCACTTATATGACCTTATGAAATTGTGTTGCGAGCACCGTAAAACATTTACTAAAACTAAACTGTCTCTCCCCTCAGTCTCTGCAAGAACACATCATCTTCGTGACGCGACCCACGGACAAGAAACAGATTCTGTTCTACAACGACCGCTACTGCCGTTTCTCCATCGACGAAGGTATGTGCAGGTGGTTGGAGGCTGTCGCTGGTGGATCCTTTTTTAAAGGATATAATAAAGTATAGTCTGATATAATACAGTATAGTCTGATATAATAAAGTATAGTCTGATATAATATAGTATAGTCTGATATCATAAAGTATAGTCTGATATAATACAGTATAGTCTGATATAATAAAGTATAGTCTGATATAATATAGTATAGTCTGATATAATAAAGTATAGTCTGATATAATATAGTATAGTCTGATATAATATAGTCTTTCTTCCTTTTTTTTTTTTCCCCGAGCACTAAAAATGGCTGTGAGTGGTTGACGGGTGCTCTGGTGTGGTTTGCCCCTACTTTCTTAACAAGTATCTATCATCTTTATCTCTCCTCCTTTTTTGTGTTCTTACTCTCGTTATATCGCACCTCTAATTTTCAGTACCTATATGACCAAATTTTAACTTTTCTCTTTCCCTCTGTCATTTCTGTCTATCTACATTGCTGATTTTGTCAGCAGGTTTTCGTTTACTCCCACTAGTTTGTAAAACAAAAACAAAGAGCAGTTGGTTGGACTGTGCTTTCTTCCTGTATGTCCTCAGATTTTCAGAAGTTGTGGCGAAGCGTTGGCGTGGAGGGGCTGGATGAGCAGAAGATCGAGGAATATCTCAACAAACAGGGCATTTCCTCCATGGACGCTTCTGGGTTCAGGAAAGTGGTGAGTGTTTGTGTGTGTGTGTGTGTTTGTGTATGTTGATTTTGTGGATGTGTGTGTGAGTGTGTTTGTGTGTGTTGTTGATTTTGTGTGTGTGTGTGTGTGTTGTTGATTTTGTTGGTGTGTGTGTTTGTTGGTGTGTGTGTGTGTGTGACTGTATGTCAACAAACAGAGCAGTTCTCCTATGAAGGATTCCGGCTGTGTGAAAATTTTCAGTTTCCTGCAGTAAATTGGCGTCCTTTTCAGGTTCAAATGTGGGTGATGTCGTTTCTTTTTTCCCCTGTGTGCTTTCTGTGTCCACCTTCCTGTTACCCCCTGATGACTGATGACTGATGACTGATGACTGACACTGTATCTTTTTGCTTCTCTTTGCTTATCTGTACAAGCAAATGATCATCTACTTTTTTAATTCATTTTTTTGTTGTTGTTGTTGGGGGGGGGGGGGGGAGGGTTTTTTTTCCAGTGGGTGGTTGGTGGGTACTCTTTTGTTATTAGCTCCTTTCCTTTTTTCCTATCAAACATCTATCATTGTTATGTCCCCTCCTTCTTCTCTGTATATATGTTACTCTCAAGTGACACCTCCAGTCTTCAGCACCTATAAATGTGACGACTATTATGTTGCAAGTGCTGTAAAACTTTATGATTTTGTTGTTTTGTTTAAACCTTACTTCTCCGTCTGCATTGATGAGTGGTATTGTATGGATGGGATTCTCGTTACTGATTTATACAAACAGATCATGATAATGATAAAACAGTATTTGTATTGGGTAAATTCCTGCTCAACAACAAGCTCGATGTGCTTTGTTCTGCTTGATTTTGTTTTGTTTTTCTTAAATCAATCGCAAGTGTGGCGGATTTATTTATAGATTTATCTGTGTCGTGTCCGCAGTCGACGCTGCCCAAGAGGAAGAAAGGGAAGCAGCAGAAGAGAACATTCAAGAAACACAACGACCATCTGGAGGGAGTGCTGCAGGATTACACGGAGAACCCACCCGCCAAAAAGTGATGAGGTGTGTGGGGGGGGGTGGGGGGTAGTGAGTGTGTGTGTATGTGGGGGGTAGTGAGTGAGTGTGTCCATGTGGGTGTGTGTGCTGCAGGATTACACCAAGAATCCTCCCGCCAAAAAGTGATGCCGTGTAGGTGGTTGGCGGGTGCTCTGATGTGGTTTGCTTCTTCTTTCCTTTCAAACATCTATCGTCCTTATCTCCCCTTCTTCTTTTTTATATTTGTTACTCTCTGATCTTCTTCCGCTCATATGACCTTATGCAGTTTCGAGCGCCGTAAAACCTCTACTAAAACTTACAAAAACTTGTCATGAGAGATCGCTATAAGAACAGCACAGTTTGAATTGTCAAAATCCACATAGAAATTAAAAAAATTATGTCGGTTTGCTTGTCACGGTTCAGTTAGTGTTGTATATTGGACCAGAAAATCAGAATTTTTATGGCGTTTTTTTTCTTCTTTTTTTTTCCGTGACTTCTTTATTTCTCAATCAATCTCTTTGAAACTTGGTCTACTTATGTTATAGCATTTTGGGTGTAAATTCCAATGAGGCTCTGGAGGTCAATTTAACAATGTTATTTTACATAATTGTACGATAATTTGCATGTTTCAACAACATAAAAAGGACAATCAGCGAGTTTTTAAGGTTCCTGTTGGAGGCTTAATATTATCATAATTATGTTATGAAAAACACTTAACAATACCAAAAAAAAAGAAGGCAGATGACTTACTTTACTGCCAAGAATTGCCTAAAATTCCACAACTTTTTGAGACATTTCCGTTGAATGTCCTTCGCATTTTGAATAATCCCGGACAGTACACCACGTCTTGGTCAAATGTCCAGCTTCGTGTCGAGAACACTGTGACGAGACTCCGTGTGAATGTCCCTGTCATTTGGTCGCTTAAAAACTCCCTAGCCTTTTCCCAGATCCCCAAAGTTCAGCTTTCCTCTTTCCAACTGTCGTTTGTCCGATTGTCTTTTCCATAGCATCATTCTTGAGAGATGTACTGAGCTTTCTATAAGGCTCTGGGGAAGGCCTAACAGGTTTGAAAAGAGGAAGGATATCAAGTGAAAAAGGGCGATTGACTGCCCCAGTTCTTGCACAGAAATACTTAGGTCCATGGGCTTTACATTAAAAAAAAACTCTTTGCAGTCACACAGTCAGCAGTACAAAAGTCCCCGTCTGGTCACCCAGCCAGCAGTACGGAATCCCCCGATCTGGTCACCTGGCCAGGACAGCGACTGCAACGGGCTTTTCGAGCCTGGCGCATACTGCATCAGGTGATCGGAACGGATGATTTTCACCGGCACATTATTGCGCCAAGTGACTGCAAAGTGTTAAATTGCCCAGTTCCAATATAGTCCTGTCAGTTTTAGGAAGAAGATCCCAAGACAATCCATGAGCAGTGGAAGGTCAGCATTGTCGGGGCCTTGAGAAGTTTGGTTTAATTGTTGGCGTTATGGGTGGACCACGTCTCAAGCAGGGTTACGAAATCTTTGTGGTGGCAAAAGACTTGTGCTGATACTTCCAAAACCCCTCGAACTTTTTGGCTTTGACATTTTTTGTGACCCTCTGGATGCCATTAGTGCCAAATTGTTGTAATCCCCCTGTAGTCGCCGACAGAGGGTGTGCTGGCAGAGCAGTTAGTACGCCCATCTCCGAAGCGGAAAGTCTGGGTTCGAGCCTCGGTTCGGACACGGATTTTTGTTGCCCCCCTCCTGCCCACCCAGCAGTAATGGGTACCTGACTTTTGAGTTTGGGAAGTAAAGGTGGCGTGGAAAAGAACTGGCCACCCTACCACAATATGCCGTTTTCCTGTATAGGTATCGTAGACTCACCCAGGTACCAGTTGTCCTGTCAGGCAACAGCAATCATTTGTCCTCTCCTTAGGGTCTATTTAGGTGCCTGTACAGGAGAGGGAGAGAGGGGGGGGGAGAGGGAGAGAGAGAGGGGGGGGAGAGGGGGAGAGGGAGAGAGGGGGGGGGGAGAGGGAGAGAGGGGGGGGGGGCTGTCTTCCTGCCTTTTCCTCTTTCCAGCTGTCGTTTTGCTCTTGATCAGGAAGTTGAAGGGACGTTCAAACTGTCAAAAATAACAGCGTTGTCTTGTGCTCTATGTCTTGTCCTTGTCTCTGTCTTGTGCCCTATGTCTCTGTCTTGTGCCCTATGTCTTGTCCTTGTCTCTGTCTTGTGCCCTATGTCTTGTCCTTGTCTCTGTCTTGTGCCCTATGTCTTGTCCTTGTCTTGTCCTTGTCTCTGTCTTGTCCTTGTCTCTGTCTTGTGCCCTATGTCTTGTCCTTGTCTCTGTCTTGTGCCGTGTGTCTTGTCCTTGCCAGTTACTTGCAACTCTTGACTTTGCCCATGTTTGCTTTCTTTTGGTCCTCGGCAAATTGGAGCAGTCGGCCTACTTTGTCATTCTTTCTGAGGCGTGAAAGTGATGGCTGTTGAAAGTTTTCCGGTCCCTTCCACTCCTTCAATTCTTGAAGTGTGTGTTTGTCTAAAAACCTAACATTACATGCGCCATGCAGTTCCTACACGTGTTTGATTTCTTCTGCGTTATCTTCTCCCGACTCTTTCAAGGTTTTCCCCCTCCATTCTTCCAACAAAGCTCGACTTTTTTTTTTCGCTGGCTGCTCCCTCGGTCATTCATTCATAAAGTAAGTTAGTTTATTTTGCAAATCTTTCTTAAACTCTTTTTCTTCATCTTCTACTTTCATTTTCACCACTTCTTCCAACTTGCTCTGTGCCTCCTGTGTAATTGCTGTACCAGCCTTAGAAACAACAGACGAAAAGCCAAGACAATGAGAGGCATCATCATCATCTGCCATAAATGTGGGTGGTTGGCGGGTGCTCTGGTGTGGTTTGCTTCTTCTCTCCTATCAAACATCTATCGTCTCTATCTCCCCTCCTTCTTTCCTCCTTCTTTTTTGTGTTTGACACTTCTCTAATTGTAACACCTCTTATCTGCGGCACTTCTATGACCTTATTGTGTTGCTAGTGCCGTAAGAAACACTTACTAAAATTTGTTTGTTAAATCTGTCACAATTGAGGTGTCCAGAATGTCTGTACTTCTCGTGTGCTTGTCCCGTCTTTGTGTGGGCCCATCCTGTGCACGTCTTCAGGTCTGGTGCAAGCATGGTGTTTGCTGTGTGTTGTCCTTCATGTGTTGTCCTTCATGTGTTGTCCTTCATGTGTTGTCCTTCATCCATTGTATTCTGGCAGGCCAGACCACAGGGCAGTATGGACAACTTGGCATCACAAAGATGTTTGCCAACGCATTCTATCACTTGTGCAATCTTGCCAGTGGCAGCTTTTTCCAGTCCTAAGTCAAGCACACATATTCTCATTTTCTCATTGTACTACTTTCCTTCCTCCCTTGTTTCTGTCAATCTTTCTCCTTTACTTTCCATCAACGTTCTTTTCATCTCGTTCTCAAGCTGTTCTGCTTTCCACTTTTGCTTCACACTCATTCCACAGTGGAAACTTGCCTGTTTCTCTCTGATTTAGGGGATTTAATTCTTTTTTAAATTTCTCTCTGTCATCTTTAAGGGTTGCAACTTCCCCTTGCGGTCCGCTAACCAATTCCATTTGTCTGTTTTTTTCTGTTTTCGTGGTGACAAAGACAGGGTTCCTGCGGCCTCCTTAATTCAAGGAATCCTTGAAGACTCCTTGAATATCCTTGGATCGAACATGATCAAATTTTAAAAATTGAATTTTTGTTTCCTGTCTTGTTGCTCTTGGCGTGCCGTCGAAAACGGCAGGAATTTCCTGGCCAAATCTGGTGAGGAGTTCATGGCAGGAAGCCTGCAGAAAGGGTGGTCACTGTCTCTTCCACCCTCTCTGTAGACATCTCTCTCCTCTTCCTCGTCACTTTGAAGCTTTTCCCAGAGAGCCAAAGCCTGCTCAGCTGTATGCCAAGGAGGTTTAGCGTTCCACAGGCCCGCTTCCATTATCCAGAAACGCTTCTTACATAGCAACAAAAAAAAACATGTCGTGAAAAAAGAAAAAGAAAGGATCTCACTTATCAGCAAAAGGCGTCTGCTTGCTGTTGTTTACACCGAGAAGGGCGCCGGGTCCCCTTTTTGGACAAATTGTACATCCCAAATCCTTGAAATTGACGAACCTGTCAGGATTGATACATTGTTGTATGTCAGGATTGATACATTGTTGTATGTCAGGATTGATACATTGTTGTATGTCAGGATTGGTACATTGTTGTATGTCAGGATTGATACATTGTTGTATGTCAGGATTGATACATTGTTGTATGTCAGGATTGATACATTGTTGTATGTCAGGATTGATACATTGTTGTATGTCAGGATTGATACATTGTTGTATGTCAGGATTGATACATTGTTGTATGTCAGGATTGATACATTGTTGTATGTCAGGATTGATACATTGTTGTATGTCAGGATTGATACATTGTTGTATGTCAGGATTGATACATTGTTGTATATTTCTATTTAGAAAGACATCAACAAAAGTAATAACTTGTTCCCGTGACAAAATGCTCAGTGAGTACTTTGATTGTCTCAACATACGTATATATATTAATTATATATATATATATATATATATATATATATATATATATATATATATATATATATACATGTTGACTAGTACAGGTGGGTATAGTGGGTACCAGACAGACACCCTGGCTTGTAGACTCACTAGTCGAGTCACTGTCGTCACGGACGTCCTCTAGAGGTACGTATGTGTCACTCGCGGGCAGTGTCACTCGCACACTGCCACTTCTTGGTTCCTCTGGGAACCATTGAGTCGATTGCCGGAAGTGATTTGGTTTTCTACATCTCATGACATCCTTGAAATAGACGATCCTGTCAGTACTGATACATTGGTGTGTATCTATGGAGACAGATATCGTCAAAAGTAATAACTTGGTCACGTGACAAAATGCTCAGCGAGTCCTTTGATTGTCTCAACTCCTATATATTAATTATATATATATATGTATATATATATACATGTTGGCGAGTACACATGGGTATAGTGTGTACCAACCAAACGTTCTTTGATTGTCTCAACATACGTATATATTAATTATATATATATATATATATACATGTTAATAATAATAATAATAAATAGCATTTATACTGAGCATTTCCATTTTCTTAAAAGATGCTCAATGCGCATTACAACGAAAAAGACATCACATCTTAAAAAATAATTGCCTTGTGTGTACGTAGAACAAAGCATTATACATATAATATAGATGCATATGTGTAAAATTTTATATGAGAAAAACAGTCTCGCAGTGAGGTTGGAAATGTGTTCACTAAAAATATACAATGCAATAAAAATTCACGAACGGTCACAATAAAGTTGAAACGTGAGTAACTAGAAACATTCGTTAAAACATTCGTTCTATTCAGACAGAAAAACATTTCCGTTCTCTCTCTCTCTCTCTCTCTCTCTCTCTCTCTCTATCTCTATCTCACAGTCTGGCATACACATGTATATATAATTATATCACAGTACATCATTATGACAGGTATGCTTTGGTGAATAAAAAATGCTTCAGCTGATTTTTGAAAATGGAAATTGTTGGGGCAGATCTTATTTTATATGGGAGTTCATTCCATACCTGGGGACCAAAAAACAAAAAGGAACGCTCGCCGTATGTTTTGTAATTTTGTTTTGGAGTTTTAAGAATTAGATTATCAGAGGCTGATCTAAGGACTCTAGGTGGATGATATAATTCCAGGAATGTTTTAAGATAAAATGGTGCACTATCATTTATACATTTAAAACAGAGCACAGCAGTTTTGTATTTAATCCTTTCTTTTATTGGCAGCCAGTGTAGTTCTTTCAGAATTGGTGTTACGTGCGCTGATTTCTTTTGTTTCATTATCAATTTTGCTGCTTGAGTTTGGAGTACTTGTAACGTTGATAGTTTTTCGGCTGTCAAACCGGACAAAATAACATTACAGTAATCTAACTTTGATAAAATGAGTGTTGTTACAAGTGTCTTGGCTGCTGCTTTAGTTAAATAATTTCTTACACTGCCAATTTTCTTAAGCTGAAAGTAAATACTTTTGCTGAGATGGCTAATTTGGGAGGACATAGACATATCCTAATCCAACTGAACTCCTAGATTTTTAAGACTTCTTGTTGACTAATACACGTGTGTATAGTGGGTACCAGCCAGACCTCTTGGCTGGAAGACTCACTAGTGGAGTCACTGTCGTCACGGACGTCCTCTAGAGGTACGTATGTGTCACTCGCACACTCCCCGGTCATGTGAGCTCCACTGCCCCTTCCTCGGGGAACCATTGAGTCGATTGCCAGAAGTGATTTGGTTCTCTACATCTCATGACATCCTTGAAATAGACGAACCTGTCAGTACTGATACATTGGTGTGTATCTATGGAGAAAGATATCGTCAAAAGTAATAACTGGGTCACATGACAAAATGCTCATCGGGTCCTTTGTCTCAACATACGTATAAATTAATAATATATATATATATATATATATATATATATATATATATATATATATATATATATATATATATATATATATACATGTTGGCCAGTACAGGTGGGTATAGTGGGTACCAACCAGACACCCTGGCTTGTAGACTCACTAGTCGAGTCACTGTCGTCACGGACGTCCTCTAGAGGTACGTATGTGTCACTCGCGGGCTGTGTCGCTCGCACACTGCCACTCCTTGGTTCCTCAGGGAACCATTGCCACAAGTAATTGTTTTCTCGTCTCACGAAACCCTTGAAATAGACGAACCTGTCAGTACTAAATGTATTGTTGTGTGTGTATATATATATATATTATACTAGCTGGGTTTCCCATTCGAAGAACAGACTCAAAGGAGTCGTCAAGCCATTGCGGGATCAGTACGCACTTCTTGTGAACGGAAGCCTCACTTGTTTACAACAATGGCGTCTTGAAAGACAGACTTTCCCCAGATTAGATCTAAACGAAACTGTGGATCGATGCAGCCATTAAAAAGCCTTTTGAATAGCAACATTCGGCCACCACAAATAGATCACAAAAGATTCTCAAAGGTGACTAATATACTTATCACAAAATTCTTGACATGAATTGACCTAAACAATACTGCTTGCCAGCATGTTTTATGTGGCAGGTAGGTTGTTCGCTGTCGCACGCAGGAGACCCGAGGTCGATTCCCAAGTAGGGAAGAATTTTTTATCGAGTATCTCAGTCTTTCTGTTGGGATGTTGTATCCCTCTCAGCCCGGGTCTGTCTGCTGGGATGTTGTATCCCTCTCAGCCCGGGTCTTTCTGCTGGGATGTTGTATCCCTCTCAGCCCGGGTCTGTCTGCTGGGATGTTGTATCCCTCTCAGCCCGGGTTGGCCCTGACAGACAGGGTGGGAAACCCGTGCCCCACGACCTAAGTGATCAAAATTGTGTTGATTCTGGGGAAAACACATACATTAAAAAAATCTCCTCCTGTTTGGATAAGAAAAAAAAACCAAAGTCTGGACTGAAGCGGAGACACCAAACACCTGGTTGTGACGTTCTCCACCATAACTCCACCATAACTCCACCATAACTCCACCATAACTCTTCTCTTGGCAGATCTAGGCCAGTCTCAGACTGTAGTGTCTGTGGATCGGCAAGACCTGTGTCCCAAAACTGCCAGACCTCCATACAGAACCAAGGTTTCAGCCTGGCCCTGGGTGGCTTTCCGCAAATATTATGTAGTTGCGAGCGCCGTAAAACTCTTGCGAACACCGTAAAACTCTTACTAAACTAAACGTTCCGGCACATCTCCGGTGGAGAGCCTCCAGGCCGAGGCAAACATCCCGTCCATCAAAGTGAGAGGACAAAACTTCTTGATTACAACACACAGTCAAACAAACAAGGCTCAACAGTCAAACAAACAAGGCTCAACACCCAAAAACTCAGCACATGACTGTGTTTTTAAAACTGGTTTGGGCATTTTGAAAAAAACAATGACAAAATCATATTTATATTATTAAACCTTTCAGACTTTCAAGTCAATTAGAACTTGAAAACAAGTAATCTTCCGAAAAGATATGAGCAGTTTCTTTTTCTCTACAGTTTTTTAAATTATTTTTTTTAAAGGAGCAAACCAGACCAGAGCACCCTCCAACCAACCACTAGCTGGGTGTGTGTGTTTTGTGTGATGAGAATGAAATAGATTGTTACAGGCTGTAGATCTAGTCTATTGAGTCTGTACTCTATGAGTGATGAAATATTGCATATGTGAAGAGAGAACATTTAGATTTGGACATATCATAGTCTGTGTGATGTGTGTGTATGAACTAAATACATGTAATAAATGTGTTATGACATATGTGTGTGAGTGATGAGAACACATCAGATTGTGAGAGATTTTTGTCTATGATGTGTGTGTATGAGCAATAAATACAAGTAATGTGTTATGCCATAAGGTGTGTGTGTGTGATGACATTAAATTGTGAGAGATTTTTGTCTATGATGTGTGTATACAGTAAATACATATGTAATGTGTTATGACATGTGTGTATGTGTGATAAGAACACATTAAATTGTAAGATTTTTGTTGATGATTTTTGTATGAGCCCAGAATAATGTGTTATGAAGAAGTTATGGTGTGTATGTCACTATGGTGTACGTGAATGATGAGAACACGTATATGGCCGTGACATGTCAATGTCTGTGATGTGTGTCAGAGCTTTGAGTGTGTGTGTAATGTGCTTGTGTTATGACATGTGGTGTGCGTGATGGGAATGTATAGGAATGTGTCAACTCATTATAGTGTGTATTATGAACTCTGAAATCATGTGATCTGTTGTGTATGAGCTCTGAATAGTGCTTTTTATGAAATGTAGTGTGTGTGTGTGTGTGTGCTTTTTATGAAATGTAGTGTGTGTGTGTGTGCTTTTTATGAAATGTAGTGTTTGTGTGTGCTTTTTATGAAATGTAGTGTGTGTGTGTGATGAAAACACGTACGATTAATTGATTATTTCAGTTCATAGTCATTCAGCCATAGTCAATATAATGATGTGTGTGAACTTGGGAGTAATGTATAGATCTAAATGTATGTTGAGAATGAAACCGGCCATTTATTGTGTGTGGATGAAAGTTGGTGGAAAATTGAGTTTAGTTTTTAGATTGTTTGACGTGTATTATAAGTTATATGATGATGACATGAGTGATGATTAATTTGTTGTTGAAAATTGTTCTGATTTCTTTGCAATAAATATTGAAATGAAAAACTTGAATGCAGTATTATCTTCTATGATCTACGGTACTGTGTTAGTGGGTGTTTGGCGGGTGCTCTGGTCTTCCTTTATCTTTCCTCCCTTTTGTGTTTGTCACTTTTTCTCTCCTTTTGTGTTTGTTTCTCTCTTGTAGCTCCTCTAATCTTTGGCATTTATATTATTACTTATTTGTGTTGCAAGTGCCGTAAAACTCTTACTGTGGGTGGTTGGCGGGTGCTCTGGTGTGGTTTGCTGCTTCTTTCCTATCAAACATCTATCGTCCTTATCTCCCCTCCTTTTTTTATGTTTGTTACTCTCTTGTAATACCTCTAATCTTCTGGCGCTCATATGACCTTATGCAGTTGCGAGCGCCATAACACCTCTACTAAAACAAACAAAATTCTTACTAATACTAAACTAAACAAAATACTTGTGTTCTGTACTCAAGTGGGGAAGTCATGTTGTTGTCAAGCAGCTTGGTCTTTTTTAACTTGTTTTTTAAATTGTAAGTAGTTTTACGCCCCTATCAACACAATTTGGATCATCTAGGAGGCGGGGTACATTTAGATCATCTAGGAGGCCGGGTACATTTAGATCATCTAGGAGGCGGGGTACATTTAGATCATCTAGGAGGCGGGGTACATTTAGATCATCTAGGAGGTGGGGTACATTTAGATCATCTAGGAGGCGGGGTACATTTAGATCATCTAGGAGGCCGGGTACATTTAGATCATCTAGGAGGTGGGGTACATTTAGATCATCTAGGAGGTGGGGTACAACCCTGACTGTAAGTCTGTCCCCGTGGTTTTATGCACCCCGCATAATTTAGCAAAATTTGATCACTTTTTGCTTACTTTCTGAATATTTTCGTTTATCATTCTTTGTCAAAATTAACAGAATCGCATATTTTCACATTTTTGGGTCGGAGAAATTAATAGTATCTAAAAAAGTAAGTGAGTGATTAGCAGGTGCTCTGGTACATGATGTGTTTTGTCCCTTCTTTTCTATCAAACACCTATTGTCCTTATCTCTTCTCTTGTGGGTGGTTGGCGGGTGCTCCGGTGTGGTTTGCTGCTTCTTTTTTATCGGTGGGCTCCTTATTTTCTATCAAACATCTGTCATCCTTATCTCTCCTCCTTTTTGCCTATTATTCTCTATCTAGTACCGCTTCTAATGTTCATTCCTTACTACCGGTACTTACTTATCCCTCAGTCTAGATGACCGTTGGGGCACCAGAGATCACCGGGCGACCACATTTCTCAATCATTCTCTATTTTCAGCCTTCCGAAGGGCTTCACCCAACTTTTAAACTGTCCAATCCGTTATGTTGTCTTCCCATCTCTTTTTTTCTGTCTGCCTTTCCTTCTCCCTCCTTGTACAGCTCCCTGTAGGATCATCTTTGCAAGTCCTGTTGTCTTTTGTACTCATCCCATCTCAGTTTGCATTTTCTCACAGTGGTGGGAAGAAAGCATAAGAACGTATGCACCTTTGATCTGATCAAATACATTTTTTCTTCCCGAGATAACAAAAAAAAATTAATTAATGCGTTTCATCAGATCACAGTTGATACGGATGGTCGATACGCAGATAAAAAATGTGTTTCATCATATCATGGCAGTATAGATTCTAGTTCTCCATTAATTTCTCCGCTCGGATCCTCTCAAAACTCCCACACTGTCCTGGTGTATCGCCCCGTTCCTCATCTGTTCATGTTGTCCAAATATGTCCTCTCTGGGTCTGCCCCTTTCTAGTGAGAGCAAGAAGGCACACGATTTATTATTTAAAAAATATAAATTTGCTGTTTACAAGCACATTCAAGCTATGGAAGTCACCAAACTTTTGCGACCATTTTCTCGCTGGATCAGTACCCCTGACACTTAGACGGTCAGAGAACGTATAGCCTGACACCATTACGACCTCCCCCCCCCCCCCCTCTCAAACACAAGTACCTCGACGACTCTTATTCAAGATAGGAGGATTTTTTTTTCATAAAAAGCGAGAAATCAAAGTTTTTCCAGTTAAAATTTACGCAGAAATGTTTTTTTTTTAATGGACATGACAATTTCAGGTACCAGAAAAAAGTTTGTCTAGTAAAATTCACCCAGAAATGTTGTTTTTTTTTTAAAATGACGTACCGGTACACTTGTAAGGTATCGAGCCAAAAAAAATTGTCGGGTTCAGGGATTTTATTCTTTTTGACGAGCGCCAGATTTCATCACGTTAACACGCGTGCGCGCGCGCGCGCGCGCACACACACACACACACACACACACACACACACACACACACACACACACGCACGCACGCACACACACACACACACACACACATCATACACAAACACACACACACACACACACACACACACACACACACACACACACACACATCATACACAAACACGCGAACGCGTGCACACTTAATCAATGTTTATCCCAGGTCTTATATTGCTACCCTCAATATTGTCTAGTGGCGCAGTTGGCAGGTAGTCTGATGTTATTTGCCCTTCCTTTCCTATCAAATATTCTTTCTAATGTTCGCCCCATCAACAAAGAAAACCCAAAGGGAAAATTTAAATAAAAAGAAAAACATTTGTTTCGGCAACAACCGACACACTTCTTGTTTTGGAATTTGACATGTCGCAGCCTCGTTTTCATTTTAACGAACAAGCGTGTCATGACGTCATTTTGTCATCAAACGCGTTGGACAACGTGTTAGCACGACGGTTACGGCTAACTTTATGGGTTCGTATCATGATTTCATTTTTGTCCTTTTAGTTATTTGGTGTATCAGTCCTAAACCCACCCCCTGTCATTTCTAGGATATGGCTATTAGGAGAAACCGGTAGCGGAAGCATCTCTTGATGCTTGTAAACATTATAATGCACTTCCTGCTTCCTGTCTGTTATTGTTTGAACGAGATCCTGTTCTTCTAGATTCTAGTTTTACTTCCACTTTCCAACGTGCCTTTGTAAAGCATGGAAACCACAACAAAAATACTGAGCTAAACATGAAAGATGCATGGTGTATGTTTTGTTGTTCATAGTTATGAGTCAGTTTGGTCCTCTTTACTTTCCATAGGAGCACAATTTTCTTTCTCAACGGATTAAGGTACAAGAAACGTTGTGAAGTTGAAGCCTGGCTAGAGATCTGGCGTTGCAGCACGGCGTCCAGTTGCGATGGCCATCGCCATCATTCATCTCCATTGACAACCATTGACAATGGCCATGACCATTTACTCTGGCAAAATAATATGAACAAAGCAACATATTAAGTGTGCATGTTATTGTTATGATGTGTACTGTGCTGTTGTCTAAATTACTTAAGTGGCTTTATGACCATGCCCACGGCCCACGGTGGTCAACAAAATGAAACAAGAATAGAAGACCAGGTCTTGTTGTCTGACCTGACCATGCCATCTCTATTTTCTAATCTAGATTTAGATAGCTTGATCTAATTCTAAGTCTGAAGGAAGTGGAAATCTTTATTGGAAAAGCATAAATTTAGATATAATAATAATAAAAGCTCTAAGTTGATAGTAATTAGTAGCAATTTAACAGGACAGTCTAAAGAATTGGTTCTTTTACTTTCCCGACTTTCCCTTCTGTCCACACTTCTTACCCACATGGTGTCCATTTTCTACTAGATCTAGGCCCTCAATATTGATTCCCTGAACACAAATATCAACTTCATTTCCATCACAAGTGAATAGTTTTTAAAATATATGTTGGTTTTTAATTGAACTATACCACACTTACCTATTTGCACAGTTTGATTCCCATGCTTTTTGGACCAATTGGGGGGGGGGGGGGGGGGGTTCTGGGGCATGGGGCATGCCTTCCTAAGGTAAAAAAAAATACCTAGGGAGTTACAGTACAGGGGAAAGAGGGGCATGCCCCCTTCTTTCAACCCATAATTTGATGTTTTGCCGTTTAAGGTTTGAAATTTTCTTGAGAATAATTGATTTGCGACAGTTTTTGTGTGATCTACAGCAAAAAAATACTGCATTTAGACCCCCAAAGCAGTGTAGCTGTGTGCCGGAGTGAAAGTAAAAATTTATCAGACACCTTGACAAGATGCTAGTTGGATAACTTCTCTTTCTACTTTCTAAGAGATTTACCCAGTTTGGCTGTGGCACCACCCATATTTATTGATTTATTAAATACTCTCTCTCTCTCTCTCTTTCTCTTTCAAGTGTAAAGTAATTATGAAGATTAGATGCTGTACATGACTTTCTTTAGAAATTGAGATAGAAAGCACCAAATAGCTGTACTAAGTCCCCCCACCCCCATTGTTTATGTACGCTAAATTATTGTAACATATTTTCCAAATGGGTTAAAAAAGTGAAATTTCTAGTTGGTACATGATCGGCAAACAGATTTTCAGGTCCTGAATTTTTTTGTATTAAAAAAATAATGTACATGATAATGAAATTGGTAATATTGCGAAACGATATAATATCATTTCCACGTCCCTCTAGTTTCGCTGTGTGTGAATGCTAGACTGTATTGTATTTATTTGTTATTTTTTGTTTTACCTTGTTGTTCCCTCACTAAATGACCATCATTGTGTCAATGTGCTTCTTTTTACTAAAAAAAACCAGACCAAATTTTTATTTATATTTTGTTATTTATTTTTAATTCATCGTTTATGATGCTTACAGAGCAAATGATTGTGGAGAGTGTTCACACCCTGGTGGAGCACACACAGCGGCCGCAGGAGAACACACGCAGGATGTCGCTGGTCGACCTTGGCAAGCGTCTGCTGGAGGCCGCTAAGCGCGGCGAGACGGACACGGTGCGGGCTCTCATGTCGAATGGTGCGCCATTCACGACAGACTGGGTGAGTGCAGGGAAGGGAAGAGAATTTTGAGCTTTCTTTATTGGACAGCTATGAAAATGCTCTGAAATGTCAAGGAATAATAATGATAGATTTAATAATTAATATAGAGCGCTCTATCTCGTACAAGTTTATAAACTCTGGGTACTTTACATTAATGACATGATTACTGAGGATAAAACTTCCTGCACACACCAGAAAAACAATTCATATGAGCAAAAAACCCCAACAAAATCTGTTACTGTTACTTTCTGTTATAAAAAAAGAAGTCTCTTGATCAAGAAGGAAGGGCAATAATTGGTAATATGTCTGGGGTTTTGTTTTTTTTCCTAGTTTTTTTCTTCCTCTTTGTTCGATTCATGATTTTTCTCAAAATGTTGTTGATGTTTTGTGGCCATACAAAATATACTTCCTGCTTAATAAAATTTTTGTTTCCATTTTTTATTTGTGTTTGTTGGTGGTCTGTTGGCTTACTCCCCCCATGTGTCAATATTGCTCAAGTTTTTCTTGTCAAAATAAGACCACTTTTTGGTGGTACTGCTATGACTGACCATCGACCATGATAGATAACATCCTGTTTTTACTCTAACGTTGTGGGAGGTCGGTGGGTGCTCTGCTTTGGTTTGCTCCTTCTTTCCTATCCAACAGCTATCGTCCTTTTATCTCTTATTCATTCTTGGAAAAAAATGTAATTGTCTTCTAAAACCTTTAATTTTCAGCAAATGTATGACCTGTTTGTGTGTGCAAGTGCTGTAAAACTATTACTAAAATGAAATCTCTAATCTTTGGCATTTATATGACCTATTTGAGTTTGCAAGTGCTGTAAAACTATTACTAAAATGAAATCTCTAATCTTTGGCGCTTATATGACCTAAATCTATTTGTATTGCAAGTGCTGTAAAAACTTTTACTAAAATAAAAAAAAAAATTTTAAACGTTGCGTTACACCTCTGGAAAGTTCCACAACATTTTTAAAAAAAAGTTTTGTTTTCCCCTACCCCCCACCAGCTGGGAACGTCGCCGCTCCACTTCGCTGCCCAATTTGGCCACCAGGACACGGCCGAGGTTTTGCTGCGGGCAGGTATCAGCCGCGACGCACGCACAAAAGTTGACCGCACGCCGCTCCACGTGGCCTCGCAGGAAGGACACGCCCAGATTGTGCAGCTTTTGCTTCAGAGTAATGCAGACATCGACGCCAAGGACATGGTAAACTTTCTACGAGGGCGGAAAAGTCATTGAGATTTTATAAATATAATGGAATCAGCTTGTACCAAAATCGGCAGGAGGGCGGGATTTTCTTCTTTTTAGTTTTGAGAGGTTGCTCAAATAGGAAGAAAAAGCTATTGCAGATTTTTTTTCGCGGTTACCACCACTATTTTCTGATCAACTGTGTTCGATTTTAGCGGACTTGACTCTTGTATTATTTATTGTTTTTAGTTGGTTTAAAACATTTTAAAATTTTGTTGCTTTTTTTTCAACATTTAGAATTTGTATCTCTACAAAATGCTCCTACGGCACATAAACTGATACCACAGATTAAAAAATTGCACTACATTTTAACAGTTGGCCGGCGATATGTGTGTCAATTACATCCTAGTTAAACTGATTTTTAAAAACTCGTCTGACAATCAGTTTACTTTTCTCCCCTCCCCAGCTGAAGATGACGCCCCTCCACTGGTCCACGGAGAAAGGCCACGTGCCCATCATCGGCATCTTGATCAAGAACGGGGCGGACATCACGCTGGAGGACAAAGTAGGTCAACAGTTGGGGTGGGAGGTTGGTGGGCGCTCGCCTGTATGGTTTGCTCCTTCTTTTCTACCAAACATCTGTCGTCTTTATCTCTCCTCCTTCTTTTCTTCCAAATGTCTATCATCCTTATCTCTCCTCTTTCTTTTCTGTGTGTGTTACTATATCTAGCAGTAACCTCTAATCTTCAGCAGTTATATATGACCTGATTGTGTTGCAAGTGCTGTAAAACTCTTTATCATCATCATCATTATCATCAAGTCCCAGAGGTTGAACAGACATTGGCGATCATGATTCTCCATTATTCAGCTCTTACTGAGACTAAACTGAAAGTCTAAATACTTGGTGTGAAAATTATTCCGCCTTTTCAGCTGACATTTACTATAACTTTGTATTTTGTTTTCTCACTCCCAATTTGTTTCCCTTTCTCTTCTTCTCCTCTCCCCTCCCCCTCCCCCCTGTCTCCTCTCCCCTGCCCCCTCTCTCCTGTTTCCCCTCCCCTCCCCCATC